ATCTCAACCTTTTGTTTTTAGCCCTAAAATGCACAGGGAGGGCTGTCAGGTTGCGCATGCCCCTTATTTTTTTAAATCAGACCTAAGGGAGGTGAGATCCTTAGTCTAAAGGATCATAGTCAGAAGAAGTGGATGATGCCAAACCTTATGTTGAGCCAAAATGAGGTCCCTGAACAAGAGCTGAGGAATCCAGTCAGCCAAGACAGAATCAACTCCACTGAATTCTCAGTAGTGGGTGTCCCCCGTCAGGGAAGTAGACTGAGACACCCCTTCAATTCCTCTTTATGGGTACCAGGCAGCTTTGAGATGTCAACTCAGAGTAGCACAGGGGAATGACCCAGGCCCTGCCAAAAGTCAATATGCTAATCTCTAAGGTGACTGAGAGGACCTCAAAGACCAAAAGACAGGGGAACCCACTGCCAGTATCTGCTGTCACCCCAGTAAGCTCAAAGCATGGCCAGCATGATGGAGCCTGAAACTCATTCTAAGGGTCTTATGGTTTCTATATGGGTTCCCAGGGGATAGGCTGAAGAGAAAATCAGAAGCCCCGTGGGTTCCTAGAGCAGTCACCTCACGGAAATCAGCAGAAGTGGCTTCCAAAAAACCAAGATGGTATCTCCCTGATACAGGTGCTCAAGGAATATTTTTCTCCCTCCTCCAGGTGCCCACGTCACCTGACTTCCTTCCCACATTCCTGCCTGCTGTCCCTGACCACAGTCATCATGCCTCGGGGTCGAAAGAGTAAGCTCCGAGCCCGGGAGAAACGCCGCCAGGCCCAAAGTGAGACCCAGGATCTTCAGGGTGCTCAGGCCACTGCACCAGAGGAAAAAGAGTCCCCTTCCTCTTCCTCTCCTGTTCTGGGGGTCACTCCCCCCAGGTCCCCTGCTGGTGGCATTCCCCAGAAGCCTCAGGGAGCCCCTCACACCCCCACTGCTGCTGTGGGTGTTTCCCGCAAGAGATCTGGTAAAGGTGCCAAGGGTAAAGGTGAGGGAAGAAAAAATTCTTCCCAGGCCTCAACCTCCACTGAGAGCTTACAGAAGGATCCTTTAATCAGAAAGGCAGTAATGTTAGTGCAGTTCCTAATGTACAAGTATAAAATGAAAGAGCCCATTATGAAGGTAGAGATGCTAAAGGTTGTCAGCAAAAGGTACAGGGAGCATTTCCCTGAGATCCTCAAAAGGGCCTGTGGGCGCATAGAGCTAGTCTTTGGCCTTGACTTGAAGGAAGTCAACCCCAGAAATCACTCCTATACTCTTGTCAGCAAGCTAGATCTCTCCGATGGTGGAAGCCTGAGCGATTGCTGGAGACTTCCTAGGAATGGGCTTCTAATGACTCTCCTGGGTGTGATCTTCTTAAACGGCATGTGCGCCTCTGAGGAAGAGATCTGGGAATTCCTGAATCTGTTGGGAGTCTATGATGGGAAGAGGCACTTCATCTTTGGGGATGCCAGGAAGCTCATCACCCAAGATCTGGTGAAGGAAAGGTACCTGGAGTACCAGCAGGTGCCCAACAGTGATCCTCCATGCTATCAATTCCTGTGGGGTCCAAAAGCCTATGCTGAAACCAGCAAGATGAAAGTCCTGGAGTTTTTGGCCAAGGTCAATTATACTAATCCTATTTCCTTCACACACCTTTATGAAGAGGCTTTGAGAGATGAGGAAGAAAGAGTTCAAGCAAGAGCTGCAGCCGGAAGTGGCACTTCTGCCAAAGCCAGTCTGGGTTCCAGGGCTGAGTCTAGCAGTTGCTCTCACCCCTAGTGACGTCTGTGGCACATTCTTCACTTTCTGGTTGAGAAGGCCTGTTACCTTCTTTGTTCTTGTTTTGCGTGAATAACTTACTGACTAATTTCTTTTGTGTGAGTGTGTGTGCGCTTTCAACTGGTGTTGCTTTCAGAATATAAGCTTATGAATGGCATGGATCATATTTTATTGCTGTTTATCAAGATTAGTAGTAAAAGGTTTTCATTTTGAAATACAAATTGGCAATCTTTAAATTATTTTTCTGATCAAGAATAAGTTAACATGGCATTGAAATAGGACTATCTTTGGAAATGTGAAAGACTGCACAGTAAATTAGTTGAGATCAGAAGACAGAGAAAAACAGTAAAGGTTGGTCAGGTTTTGGTTTCTTTTAGCCTTTCTTTTTCTTTATTTGCTTTAGCCTTTCTTTTTCTTTTCATAGATTTAAAGGATACATGTCTGGATTTGCTAATGTTATGCAAGAGTGTGTAGAAATTAAATCATATTGAATTAGACTTCTTGTTCCTGACTCTTACCTTACCCAAACATTAGATGAGCATCTGCTCTTTGGAATGGAAGTCTTCATGCTTGTACTGGGAATGTATAGTGAAAGAAAACTCAGTGCTTGCTCAGGCAATTATAGATTCTAGAAGCTATCATTATGGAAGAGGATGAAATACTTTCTCCTTCTTAAAGTCAAAAGCAGGGTATAGAGGGGACAAAGGAAAAGTATTGCTTAGATTTTATTGCTAAGCAGCATTTTTTCTGTTATTGTTTGTTTGTCCTAGGATGCTGGGTATTCTCTAACATGTCCTGGATAAAAACAAACAAACAAAACAAACCAACAACAACATAAAAAAACACCCAGCCTGATGGATGGTAATGTCTCAGGTCAAAATCGTCATAGTAATAACTGCCACTCCCTAATGTTTCAATGCAAGACAAGCACAGCCACAGAGGCTTTGCATACATTACATATATTTCTACCAGTCCTCCAAGACAGGCCTTATCACACCTGCTTCACAGATGCAGAGCCTGAGGCTCATAGAGCTTGGTAATATGCCCAAGTTCATAAGTGTAGTAACTAAAAGGGTTGGGACTAGTCCCCTGGTATGAGTTACTCTAGAGCCCACAGTCTTCCACTCCTCCCATCCTAAAGCACACTCTGTGTCTCTTATTTCAATTTTCTTCTCAGTACTCCAAAATGGATGTCAGGTGATAAAACAGATTCACCTCGTGCCCAAACTACTGGTTTGGAATACATACCCAGTGCAACAAGAATGCCAAAATAACTGAGAGTACACATAAAGAAAAGAAAGAGACAATATTTAGTGACAGTATGATTATATTCCTAATGTTACATAACTCTAAAAGATCAGGGGCTCCCCTTATCATCCTAAACAACCTCTTCCCTGTAGAAAGTAAATCTGTTAGGGCAGGAGTTACATGAGAATCTAAGTCTAGCTGATGAAGAGAAAAATCTCTGACACCCCACCACCGGTCCTGGGCCCCCTGCCTTTTCTGCAGTCTTTCAATCTCACTCGATTGCTGGGACAGGCACCCATTCTCTGCAAGGTTTGCAGAGGGAAAACTGCTCGAGAGTTTGCAGGGATATGTTGTTTTCCAGGAAGCCTTCAAACCAAGGACAGAGCCAAGATGAGGGCTGGGAAAACCAGCATCCCAGGTAGGAGTACTGGAGAAACCAACATTCCAGGATATGGCAGGGGGAGGTGGGTCACAGAGAGACCAGCCTGTCCACTCGCAGGCAGTGATGGCCCCAAACAGATCTGTCAGTCAGAGCATCCCCTTCTATATTCTTCAGGCTTCTGAGGGATATAAGGACAGCATCCTTCGGTCAGTATTTTCGGTCTACAGAGGAAAGAGTTCCTGCCTCTCATAGAAATGAAGGGGATAAGCCTGAATGTGGGTGACGGAAGGACCCAGCCAGAACAGTAGGATCCCATAAAGTCACATCCTGATTGTTAGCCCTTCAAAGTCTGGAACTGTCCTGGTTGTTTGTGGCTGACACTGACTTTCAATTCAGGTCTCAGCAAGGTGAGGACTTTGGTCTGAAGGCCATGGCCTCAGGTCATCAGAGAATGGAGTTCCAAGAAGGGCGCAGAATCAAGATGAAGACGTTGCATGTGGACATAGGGACCACTCAACCCACAACTGACAGGGTTGCACCTAGTCCCTCCCCTGGTGTTAGTTGTGGGAGGCCCAGGGAAGAGCTGGCATGTTCAGATGCCCCTGACATCGTCCTGGAGGGTCTCAAGGAGATTAGGGACTTGCTTTATATGCTGGCCATCCAGTTCAGCACAGAGTGGAATACCAGGTTATGATAGGTGTCCAGGTAAAACTCCTATATGAGGAATAAGACAACCAACTAACCCAAAAGTGAACAGAGGACAGAGGTGTCCTTAGAAAGTCCTGCCTCTAAAGTAAGCCCTGGGAGGTCACAGGCAGAGTTTTCAGACTGAGGTTACCCCTCATTTTCTGAGGGAGGTGGTCTCAGAGATATGAAGTTCTTGGACTAATGGGGGAGACCTCATTCAGCAGAGAGGAGACTCACTCTTCAGCAGGAGTCAACATGATGACACTGAATGACAATGAGGAGACCCCTCCCAGAAAGAAGAGGGCACCTAGAACCCTGTGCTTCTTGTCAGACCTGAGAGACCTGGGCATGGTGTCATGATGAGACATGCTCACTTCCTCCCAGGTCATCTCACAGAGATAAGGAACCTTGACAAAGGGAGCAGCTTCAGGTCAGCACAGAGAGGATTTCTAGGTTGTGCCAGGAGTCAAGGTGAGGATCCTGAAGACTGAGGGGAACACCTACCTCATAATACTGGGGACAACACAGATGCCTTCCACTACCGATAGCCTAGGGAGGCCATGAGCAGTTGAGCTCAGATGAGGCAAATTTTACTTCTTTTTAGGTGGTATCAGGG